GTTCAGGGTTTAGGGTTTAGGGATGAGGGTGTAGGGTTTAGGGTTTAGGGGGTTTGTCCTGGTGCTGGCTGAAGAGCCTCTGGAAGCGCGAGACCTTCCGAGCGGGAGGTAGATCCATGTCAGCTTCCGGGTTTTGAGATTGGGGTCCCGAGAGACGCCGAAAAGAACAGACTATAAGAACAATGGCTGTAGTCATGCCAATACTTTTCGCTAAAGGCAAAAACTGCTAGCAACGGAATAGCAATAGCAATGTTGCAATGTCAAATTGGGTCCTAAACCCTAAGCGCTGAACCTCAAACCCTAAACCTACGAGAACTTGTGTACCACTGTAGATCCCCAAGGCGCTTCAGGGTCTGGGGTTTAGGGTTTTAGGAACTTACACTTAAACAAATTTGCTGTTCTAGAATAAAGACCCCAAGGGTTTAGGTCTAGGGTTTTGGGTTTAGGGCTCAGGGTTCAGGGGTTTTGGTCCCAGGGATCCATGGCCAAAAGGATCTAATAGTTCCTGGAAAGGAACCCAGCAAGCCCTAAACCCTAAACCCTAAACCCTAAACCCTAAACCCTAAACTCTGCACTCCACGGCAGCCACCTCAGAGCACAGGCGTGCGAGCTCCTCGCACAGCAGCTCCTCCCGAAGTGGATCGCCTGGCTGCAAACTCTCGGTTAAGGCTTCAGGGTTCATAGGGCTTTACAGGGCTTTATGGGGTTCTAGAGGGTTTATAGGGTTTATAGGGTATTATAGGTTTCATAGGATAGTATTTCTAGGGTTTATCTTCATCAAACCAGGTTTGAGGCTTGGACTGTATGAGGTTGCGGTGTAAACCACCAAACCCTAAGCCATGCACTTTGATGTCCCACCTTTGTGCAGCTGCAGTTCGCGCGACTCATGCGGGATGTGCAGCTCGGCCTGGTTTGGGAAGGCAAGGGCTTCTGTTGGGGTCCAGGGTTCTCTTCCAAAAGCTCGAGGGTTCTCAAGTCATTCTCCAAAACCGCACGGCAAACAGAAGCCGTGCGTTTGCATAACCCTAAACCCTAAACCCTGATGTTGCGATGACCATAGGGAGTGAGTCATACACAGCAAATATGCAAACCGTCGAACAGAGCACCGGCAGGACACCCTGAGAATGAGGGGCTCACGGACCCAGGCTTTGGGGTTTTAGGGTTTTAGGGTTTAGGCGCTTAAGGGCTTTAGGATTTAGGATTTAGGATTTAGGGTTTAGGGTTTAGGATGTTAGGGTTTAGGGTCTTAAGATTTCTTGGCAGCACAAGGCAGCTCCAGATCAAGGACCAGGCGGCGTCATCAGGCGAAGCTGTTGCTTCGCCCTGCGCGGGCGCACCCTGCGCGGGCGCACATGTAGCCTCCATGGGAAAAGCGATGGCTACAAAGGGACACCTTGGATCCCCTTTGCCAGCTGCTACGGAGGTGACCTGAATGTCCAGACATCCTCTACAAGCCTCTTGTGTGCTTCTTGCATCTTCTTGCTGTACTTGGGTAGGTTTGGGGGCCCTATGAGAAGAAACCTAGCCCTGTGTAGGTGGGATCAAGATTCACATGCCCCTGCGCGACGCTTTGCTGCTTAAATGAGCCGCAGCTGCACAAGAAAGGAGGCGCATGTGCTGATCGACGTTAAGCCTGTGTAGGGTCTAGGGTTTAAGTTTTTAGGCTTTAGGGTTCAGGGTTTAGGGTTTAGGGTTTAGGGTTTTGGGAGTGCTGGATCTGGTGCGCTGCCGGGCAAGATGCAGCGCAGAGGCGCACCCAGCATGGCATGGGGTTTCCTTACCCAAATGGGGAACCCCTAAAACAAAACCCTCAAATACTAGGATTCCCTTTTTTTCTTAAAGACCCCAAGAAGGTACCCCCTATTTTCGGAAACACATGGGGTTCCGACACTAGACCAAGGGCGGCTTGGAGTTGGGATGTTCCCCCCTTTTTCCACCGGTCCTGAATAGGGATTATAATACGGGGGAGGGGGGGGTACTATAATCCCTATGAAGGACTTATGAGGGGGAACATCCCCCAGGCGCAGGGCTTAAGGTTGTGGGGGAAAGGGCGGGCTAAGAGAATGAGAGCTTCAGGTGCGGCCACCAAGCTGTAGAGAGCAAGACTCAGCAGAAGAACCCTAAACCCTAAACCCTAAATCCTAAATTCCTAAACCCTAAACCCTAAACCCCAAAGCCTAAACCCTAAACCCTAAACCCTAAACCCTAAACCCTAAATTCCTAAACCCTAAAGCCTGAACCCTAAACCCCCTCGGATCATTCGCCAATTCGCCGGACTGCCTCTTGACATGGCATTTGCAAGATATCCCCTCCAGGGACTTCCGAAGAATCGGGGTACCCTTTTGGGGGTTCCTATCAACTATAGTACGATTGTAAGGATTGTCGTCCTTTTGTGTTTGGGGATCTCTATGTTTGGGTGCAGATTGGGGCAATAACCGCCAGGTCATGTTTGCTCATATTCAACATACGCCTAAACCCCCGAAATCCTACACCACGAGCCCTAAAGCTAAAGTTGAGACGACGACAAAACATGCCAGTACACATCAGCACTCGGACTGAAACATCATACGCGCCAAACCCTGACTCCTGTAACCTTTAACCCCTAGCCACCCTACACTACCCCAAACCCTGAACCCTGAACCATAAACCCCTAAACCCCCCTAAACCTCTCAACGTGCCCGCCTGACACCTAAACCTCAGATTCAAGCCTAGGCTCACGCTCACGCGCTCTGCCGTGCCGGGATTCGCAGGGACGCGATGCCGAAGCCAGCCTCGTTGGGTGTAGGGTTTAGGGTTTAGGGTTTAGGGTTTAGGGCTTACGGTTTAGGGTTTAGGGTTTAGGGTTTAGGGTTTAGGGTTTAGGGTTTAGGGTTTAGGGTTTAGGGTTTAGGGTTTAGGGTTTAGGGTTTAGGGTTTAGGGTTTAGGGTTTAGGGTTTAGGGTTTAGGCTTTGGAGTTGGAGGCTGGAGGCTGGAGGCTGGAGGGTTAGGGTTAGGGTGTAGGGTTTAGGGCTCAGGGATTCTTACTTCATCAGGAGCCTCGTCGACAACAGGTTGAGGGCTTTAGCGGGCTTCAGCTCTAGGGTTTGAGGCAGGGGTTTCCGGGCTTAAGGTGTAGGCTTTCGGCTGTAGGCTGCAGGGTTGGGGGTTTTGAACCCGAACACCGAAGCCCTAAATCCCAAACCTTCAGTGGCAGTTGTTCAAAATGCCTGTCCCCAAAACAACCAAAAAGGCACCATTCTTGGGGCACTCTTGAAGGATGATCATTTTTGTTCCTTACTGGGGCTAAGTATTCATACACATGCAAGATGATGTTCAACAAAGGATTTAAGGGCTCCGGACTCGTGTCCCCAGGTCCATCCCTACCAAGAACCTTTTTGAAAAAGCCCCGAAACCCTTGCCCATCCACTCTACCAGTTGAGGATTCAGGGTTTAGGGTTTCGGGTTTAGCGTTTGGGGTTTAGGGTTTCGGCTTTCTTGGGCCTGGGGCTATCCGCATACCCCAATCCCTCAAAACTCAACGACTTACTTGTTCAGCGTGTTCGGGTTGCGTTGGGACGGGGCCAGGTGTTTTCCTTTCCTCTCTTCTCTTCCCTCTTGTTTGGTTGTTGTTCTTATTGCTTTGGTCTTCCTGGGTTGGATGAAGACAAACCAAAACAACAATTCGTACACCCTAGGGGGTCTAGATGTTGGCCCAGACGCTTGGGAACAGGATGACTTGGCCGGCCTGCACCGGGTATTCCAGCACCTTGCATTCCCGAGCTGGGCAGATGTGAGTTTAGGGTTGGAGATAAACCCTAAACCCTAAACCCTAAACCCTAAACCCTAAATCCCCTAAGGGCCTAGGATTTACTGCTTAGAGCCCGAGAGCCAGGGGATCGTAGCTTCCGGGTTTCTTTCGCGCCTTCTTTGGGATGTTGAAGGCTTGTGGGTCTAGGACGTCTGGGTTCAGGCAACTTCTGAACTCAGAGAGCTAAAATCAAGACCCTAAACCCTTACTCTTTCGTTGTAGGGTTGTTGGCTCGCCTGGGGCCCTCATAACCCCATTTCAACCCACAAACCCTAAAGACCCCGAAAAACACCCCGCTAAAAAAAGAATAGCACACCTAATGCAACATGATATACTATACATATGTAGAGAGTATATGACATATCGCCAAAATATATAACATATTGTACTTTAGAGACCCCTAACATAGTCCCTCCAAATCGTAGAATTCCCTGATAATATGGTGGACCCCATTCGGAAACCCTAAACCCAAAACCCTAAACCCTAAACCCCCGTCTAGGTCGTGAAGGCCCTGTAAACCCTTCCGGGCTCGCGCGCCTCGCGGGCCTCCTCGGCTGCCATCTTATCCAGGCGCGGGTCCTCGAACTGAAGACCTGGCACCGTAGGGTTTGGGGGCTTAGGGCTTGATTAGGGTTTAGGGTTTAGGGTTTGGGGTTTAGGGTTTAGGGTTCAGGGTTCAGGGTTTAGGGTTTAGGTTTGAGGGTTGAGGGTTGAGGGTTCAGGGTTCAGGGTTCAGGGTTTAGGGTTTGGGGTTTGGGGATGCTGGCTTCGGGGGGCTGATGGAGTAGGACCAGGATGCTAAAAACTCAGGGATTACGGTTTAGGGTTTAGGGTTTAGGGTTTAGGGTTTAGGGTTTAGGGTTTAGGGTTTAGGGTTTAGGGTTTAGGGTTTAGGGTTTAGGGTTTAGGGCTTACAGGGCTTCGTGCTTTGTAATTTCATGGCTGGGGTCTTCGGGGCTTAGAGCTTTCATTCAGGTTCTAAGGGCTTCTGGCATACTCATAAGGTTAAGGGCACCGAAGCCCCTAAACCCTAATCCCTAAACCCTAAACCGTAAACCCTAAACCCTAAACCCTAAACCCTAAACCCTAAACCCCAAACACCTACCTCAAGCCCGCCTGAGCACCCTTCCGGCGTCTGCACATAGTACGTGCCGCTGACGTTCGAGAAGTCGTGCGTGTGAAAGCCATGCTCTGCGCCCAAGCCCATCACGTTCAGCCAACACTCCTCCAGAGTTTAAGGTTTAGGGTTTAGGTTTAGGGTTTGGGGTTTAGGGATTCGGGTTTAGGGTTTAGGGTTTAGGGCTGAGGGGCATGAGATGTATGGTTTTAGGCGGGAGCTCTTGGTAGCTGTCTGTCCCACGACATAATCGGGATGATAAGGGGATGATGCTTGTAATTTCGCTGAGCTCCTGTACTAAGAAAGGGCTTTGCACGGCTTCCTCGTTTTCATGCGTCTTTCGCTGCGGACGCCAACCACTGTGGGTAAGGGTTTGAAGTGTCGTTCTGAGAAGGCTTGGAAGAAGTAGTGTTGCTAAGTACGTGGCGGGTGGTCAGGCATAGGCTTCGGGTTAGGTGGAGCCGGAAGCATGTACAATAAGGGTCGCTATGATTATGGCTGATTATGATTGAGATGTTCCCCCTTATACTAACAGTCCCTACTAGGGATTCTCGTAGGGGGTACGAAAATCCCTATTAAGGACTGTTGGCGTAAGGGAACATCCCAAGATTATGATTCACAGGTGCAGCACCTGTCGTAAAGAGCCCCTTGTGCCGCAGCGCCCAGGGGCGCCAGGCCAGTCGAGCCCAGCAGGGCCAGGTCACCTGTAAAAGCTTTAACGTAAGGGTCTTAGGCTTTGGGTGTTCGAGGTTGAGGGGTTAGGATTAAGCATTGAGGGTTTAAAGGGTTTAATGCTTCCTAACTCCCAAACCCGTAACCCTAAACCCTAAACCCAAGCCCTAAACCCTAAACCCCAAACCCTAAACCCTTAACCCCCAGAACTAAACCCTAAACCCCAAAACCTAAACCCTAAACCCTAAACCCCAAACCATAAACCCTAACCTACTCGAAGGAGGTCCGTCATGCGCAGCTGCGACGTATCGCGGCCGCCCATAAGTCGAGTCTCCTCTGACAAGAGTCTAGGAAGCCGAAACAAGGCCGAAACCTTGCATTTGGGACTTAGGCTTTAGGGTTTATGGCTTCATTAGGGGTGGGAATTCCCCAAGCCCCAAACCCCGAAGAGACCTTAACTGAAGCCCCAAAAAAAATGACCTGGGAAAATCGTAGGGAGCACTTGAGAATGAGGTCCCCCAAGAAACCAGCACCTAAAGCCTCAAAGCTCAGAGGGGTGTTTCGTGGGGCTTTTGGGGCTCAGGGTTGAGGACCCTCCTGACAACACGATGAGAAGCCTGAATCCCGAGCCGACCAAACCCCCAACTAATCCCCAAACACCAAAACCCAAGGGTTTAGGGTTTAGGGTTTAGGGTTTAGGGTTTAGGGTTTAGGGTTTAGGGTTTAGGGTTTAGGGTTTAGGGTTTGAGGTTTGGGGTTTAGGGCAAGCCGAACCCCGGCCTCCCAAAAGCCTTAGAAGCCCCGAAGACCCAAACCCCCACCCCCAAAAACAAAAACCTGTCAAACTCCAAGCCCTAAAACCCAAGCCTAAAACCCTAAACCCTAAATCCTATCACCCTAAACCCTAAACCCTAAACCCTACACCCTACACCCTAAACCCTAAACCCTACACCCTACACCCTAAACCCTAAACCCTAAACCCTAAACCCTAAACCCTAAACCCTAAACCCTAAACCCTAAACCCTAAACCCTAAACCCTACCCCATGCCTCTCCTCCAGGAAGGCCTCGAGGTGGGGACGCAACTTGGCCTCCAAGGCCTGGAAGCCTGGGCGCGGTTTGGGCCGCTGTAGGGGTTTAGGGTTTAGGGTTTAGGGCTAGGGTTTAGGGTTTAGGGTTTAGGGTTTAGGGTTAGGGTTTAGGGTTTAGGGTTTAGGGTTTAAGGTTTAGGGTTTAGGGTTTAGGGTTTAGGGTTTAGGGTTTAGGGTTTCAGGTTTCAGGGTTTAGGGGCAAATTTGTGCGCGATTACTATAATTTTAAATTAGGGGCACGAATGAACGCAGTAAAACCACCATGGATACCGCATTAAAGGACTCATGAAATCTCCTACAATTATAATGCGAATGATGCGCGCTTTCATTCCCAACATTAATATTAGAACTGGGGCTGTTAATGTACGTCCTTTATCACGCGGTGAAAGAACCCCACTTTGAGACCCTTTTGACCCTCGACCTGGAGATGAAGACAGAAGACTCACGCATCTAGTTCCAGCTCCAGCAGTAAGACTCATGAAAAGACGAGTGTTATCCAGACCAGGCGTTAACAGGGTCTCAAGGTGTGATGGGTTCTGCGGTTGGACTGGTCTCTAAGCCGGTTAGTAGCTCAAGACATTAAGACTCAGCCCCAGATCAACCACTAACAGAAGCTAGAGATAGAGGGTTGGGTGACAGGGAGATTTAGGGCTAGGGTTAGGGTTTAGGGTTTAGGGTTTGCGGCTTGGGGTTAAGGGTTTAGCGTTTTTTGGGGTTTAGGGTTTGGGGTTTAGGGTTTAGGGTTTGGGGTTCAGGGCTTAGGGTTTAGGGTTTGGGGTTTAGGGTTTGGGGTTTAGGGTTTGGGGTCTTAGGGTTTAGAGTGTGGGGTTCCAGGGTTTAGGGTCTTGAGGTTTTAGGGCGCAGGGTTTGGGGTGTAGGGGCTTTACAGTTTGGAGTTTGGGGTTTAGTCCCTAGACCCTAAACCCCAAACCCTAAACCCTAAACCCTAAACTCCAAACCCTAAACCCTTGTTTGGCTTTAGGGTTCAGTCTCGGCGCGGCTGGTCAAATATTCACGCGCATGGAGCTTTGGGTTCAGGGTTGCCCTAAACCCTACACCCTAGACCCTAAACCCAAACCCCTAAACCCTAAACCCCAAACCCTAAACCCTAAACCCCAAACCCTAAACCCTAAACCCGCAACCCCTAGAAAAGGCCCGCGAGGCAGGGGATCGCGTCGTTGAGGTTCTTCTGGCTGCTGAAGGACGTGTAGCCGCCTCGGCTGCGGGGATCATCCTCGAGACTGTGGGGGCGTGGGGCTTTTGGGGTTTAAGATTTAGGGTTTAGGGTTTAGGGTTTAAGGTTTAGGGTTAAGGGTTTAGGGTTTGGGGTTTGGGGTTAGGGTGTTAGGGTTTTAGGGTTTTAGGGCTTGGGGCTTTAGAGCTTGGGGTTGAGGGCTTTTGGGGGTTTTGGGGTTTTGCCCACCGAAGCCCTACACTCCCAAGCATGAAAGACTCTCAGCCCCAAGAGTCCAAAAAGCACATGACCCCCGGAAAAACCCGAAACGCAAGCCCGAAGATCTCAAACAACCCTTCTTACCCCACAAAAACCCTAAACCCTAAACCCTAAACCCTAAACCCCAAACCCTAAACCCTAAACCCTAAACCTCGGGCTCCCGGGAAGTCTTTTTGCCCAGAGGCCCGGGTAGTTTTCCTCGCACCAGGCTCTGCCAGCGAGATCCGACTCGCGCAGCCTCGGGTTTAGGGTTTAGGGTTTAGGGTTTAGGGTTTAGGGTTTAGGGTTTAGGGTTTAGGGTTTAGGGTTTAGGGTTTAGGGTTTAGGGTTTAGGGTTTAGGGTTTAGGGTTTAAGTTTCAGGTTCAGGGTTTAGGGTTTCGGGTTTAGGGTTTAGGGTTTAGGGTTTAGGGTTCAAGGTTTCGGGTTTAGGGTTTAGGGTTTCGGGTTTAGGGTTGGGGGTTTGGGGTTTGGGGTTTGCGGTTTGGCGTCCTCGGGTTTTCGGGTTTGGGTGTTTGGGTTTGGGTGTTTGGGTATTCGGAGGTTTGGGGGCTTTAGGATATATGGTTTTGGGTTTGGTGTTTGGGGTTTCGAGGTTTGCGGGTTTTTGGGTTTGCGGCTTGGTGCGTAAGTCCTAGGCACTAAAGGCCTGCGATTGCAAGGTCTACGCCCGTTTGTTACGCCCTGGCCCGCGGCTGCTATACTCTTCCTTGCAGGTGGGTGTTGAGGGGCTGATAAGGGGATCGCCGAAGAAAGGAAATGCTGGCACTTCAGGATTAGGGATTAGGGTTACGATTTTAGGCTTTAGGGTTTAGGGCTCAGGGACTTTGCGATTCTAAATGATTGAGAACCTTATGGCCTACTTACCAAGTTCCCTGCGCATTCAAGAAACCCTAGCCCCCTTCGCAGACCTGCACACACCTAGGTTAATGGGTTGAGGGATTGGGGCTTGGGGTTTCGGGTTTAGGGTTTAGGGTTTAGGGTTTAGGGCTCAGGGCCTAGAACCAACTCCAGCTTAATCTTAAAACCCTCCTCAAGCAGGAGAAAGGGACTGGGCGGCTGCTTCGAAGATCTCCAGGTTCAGCTCCCCAGATGATGCCGGGTCCGTCAAGGAGGCGCGGTAGACGGGCGTGGCGAAATGCCGGAGGGTGCCAACGGCTTCCTTCGTCAGGGGTTTATGAGGTTTAGGGCTCAGGATTTAGGGCTTAGGGTTTAGGCCTTAGGTTTAGGTTTAGGGCTTAGGGCTTTGGGTTGAGGGCTTGGGGTTTATTGCAACCTTAAACCCCTAAACCCAATAGGGTCTGGGCTTACCTGAACCCCAAGAGCCCTGAAGCCCTAAACCCTAAACCCTAAACTAAACCGCGACCTCAAGGCGCTGGGAACCCCCGTGAGTAGACTACCATACACCCTACACCCTGAACCCTAAACCCCAAGCAAACCTAGAGCCTGTTGCCAACCAGGTTTAAACCCTGGGCTTGGGGTTTTGGAGTTTGGGCCAAGCGTTTGGAGTTTAGGGAACAGAACGGTGAAGCAAAGACCTACCATGAGTGGTGCAACAAAGATGATCGGCACGGGTGCTTCAATTCATCGACAAGGCGCCGCATCCCCCACTGAGATCTCCGTCTCATACTTCTCACGTGTTTCGTCCTCGCGTCGGGGTGTTTCGCGGAAGTGCGAACCTCCGCCGCCCGCCTATCTGCCGCCAAACTAGGGTTCACAAGTTAGGGCAACTCCGTACTCCTTTCTATAGCAACAGCCAGAGATTAAACTGAGGGGTCCTATTCTTGCAGAACCTGCGGCAACTATGAGAACAAGGTGGGAACAACCAGCTCCAAATTCCTCATCCCGAAACACCAACATCCCGCGCTCTCCCTAAACCCGAAACCAAAACCCCTCAACCCCAAAACCCCACCACCCTACAACCCTAAACCCTAAACCCTAAACCCTAAACCCTAAACCCCCTCTTGCTCTCCGGAATCTCGAAGGCTTTGATGTCGGCGATGCTCCGCTCGAGCTCCTCCTCCAGAGCATCCTGAGAAGATCGGCACAGGGCCGCGAAGGTGGTACCCGTGGGTTTGGGGATCCTTGGCTGCACTCAGGAGGGTAGCTATAAATTAAACGTTTAGCTGCCTTATTAAGAAACCCAATAAACCCAAAAAGGGTAAGGATCTAAAGTTACAGTAAAGTACCACAAAGGATCCTTCTTAAAGGGAATACAAGGGCCATATTCGGGTAGATTGAGGGAAGCCTCTTAGGGGGTAGAAACCTCTGGGGTGCGAGTCTCAACCCCTAGACCCAAAGATTCCAGACCCCAAAACCCCCAAGCGCTAAAACCCTACACCTCTATACCCTAAAACCCCACGCACCCCCTCGCAAACCGCTCTATACCCCCTAAAACCCAGAACCACCCGGGAACCTTGGGAGTCCCTGACCACCCCCCACCCTAAAAACCCTCGTTTTGTTTTTGCAAGAAGAAGCAGGAACTTAAACCAAAACACTGGAGCAAGCCCTCGAGCCTTTTCGGGATCAGGATTTAGAGTTTGGGGTATAGGGTTTAGGGTTTAGGGTTGAGGGTTTAGGGTATAGGGTTTAGGGATTAGGGTTTAGGGTTTAGGGTTTAGGGTTTAGGGTTTAGGGTTTAGGGTTTGGGGATTAAGGACTCCAAACCCCTTGGAGACGAAGAGGCCGAACTTGACCCTTGGAGCCTCCCCAAAACATCCTCAAGAAAACATCGGAAAGCCTTAGGAACAAAGCAAACCTTTTAGAAAAGAAAAAAATAAACACACCTAAAACAAATGAAGAGGGAAAACAGTCTGCCCGCCTCGAGGTCCTCAAGATCTTCCGACTCCTTTTTTGTTTCTATCTTCTCTCTCTCTCTCTCTCTCTTTTTCTTTTTTTGGGGGGGGGGGGGGGGGTTGGGGGGGAGGAGGGGTCTAGGGTTTAGGGTTCAGGGTTTAGGGTTTTGGGTTTTGGGTGGCGAGTGTAGGGTTTAGGATTTGAGGTTTAGGGGTTGGGGCTTAAGGTTTAAGGTTTAGGCAGGGAAATTGTGGGGAGGGGGTCGTAGGGATTGAGGCTTGGTAGCTTCAGGTTTCAGACCTGGACTGTGGTATAAGCTCGAATACCCCCCCATGTTCACACGCTAAACCCGAGGGTTCAGGGTTTAGGGTTTAGGGTTTAGGGTTTAGGGTTTAGGGTTTAGGGTTTAGGGTTTGGGGTTTGGGGTTTGGGGTTTGGGGTTAGGGGTTTAGGGGTTTAGGGTTTAGGGTTTAGGGTTTACGTAGGGTTTAGGGTTTAGGGTTTAGGGTTTATATAGGGTTGATATAGGGTTTAGGGTTTAGGGTTTAGGGTTTAGGGTTTAGGGTTTAGGGTTTAGGGTGTAGGGTTGAGGATCTCAAAACCCTTGTAAACCCCAAACCCTAAAACTCCCAAAGCCCCAATAAACCTGAACACTTAAACCCCAAAACCCTTGTAAACCTTAAACCCTAAGACCCCCAAACCCTCTGGTTCTTAGTAGGGAATGAGCGAATTCCCTATACATGCCCTTTAAGGAGGTTCCCTCATTCCCTGCTAAGAACCAGCCAGATAACCCCGAATTGAGACCCTAAACCCTAAACCCTAAACCCTAAACCCTCTTCCGTGCCATCTCGTCTCCAGTAACTCCATCAAGCTCTCGTCACTGTCGGAGACTCGCAGGGTGTGAAGCCTTTTGGGGTTTCGGGTTTAGGGTTTAGGGTTTAGGGTTTAGAGTTTAGGGTTTAGGGTTTTTGGGCTTGGGGTTTAGGGTTTAGGATTTTAGGGTTTGGGGTCCAGGGGGCTGAGGGCCTCAAGGCTGTGGGGTTTAGAGTTTCGGAAAAAGCTAAACCCGAAACCCTAAACCCTAAACCCTAAACCCTAAACCCTAAACTTCCGGCCCCACGCCAGCTCCGAGCTGCCAAGACCAGCAAAGATCTACGGCTCCAAGTATGGGGCCCTTCCTAAACCCTAAACCCTAAACCCTAAACCCTAAACCCAAAACCCTAAACCCTAAACCCTAAACCCTAAACCCTAAACCCTAAACCTTCATCTGAAGCTCTTGTCATGCAACCCTCTTTATCCTTTTATACTCTGTCAGGAAGAAGAGCCCATACGTCGGATCCCATTAAACAAGGGTAAGGGATACTACTAAGGGCCCATGGTTCCACCTTGAGAAACGATGCGGTTAGTTGCGGTTTTGGGCGGGTCCTCCTCCGTCCCCAGGCCTTGGGGGGTCCAGAGGGTCTAAAACGAGCCGAAAGGCCCGGAATCCTACGCATCATTATGCCCCAAGGCTAGTGTATTGATTGAGAATAATAGTATATCGACAAGAAGACAATTCCTTCACTCACCGGAGTCCCCCCCTTCCCCTGCCGGAGCGGAAGCCTCCGCACGCGCGGTTGGGGCCGCCATTGGCCGAAGAACGCCGGCAACGCGGCGAAGACGCCTTGAAGGGAGCGAAGGGTTCGGGGTTTAAGGTTTGGGGTTTAGGGTTTAGGGTTTGGGGCTTGGGGTTTGGGGTTTAGGGTTTGGGGTTTAGGGTTCGATCTTTTAACTTTGAGGTTAGGGTTTTAACTTTGAGGTTAGATGTTAGGTCTTAGGGCTTGGGAATTGCAATCCGCTAACAGACGTGGCTTTTGAGTGGTTGGCCAGAAAATAGGAGACGTCCAGTATATTCCCCAATATACCGCAACTTCAAACACATGCGCTCGTTCTCCAAAATTGAGATGTAAGAAGCTGTAACAAACAATGCGTAGACCGAATTGCATAAAACTCAAATATGAAAAACATATATGGGAACTTACGAACAAGCGTTCTCATTAATTCTCATACACTAGCATATACGACCTCTTCTAGGCTGCAGCATGCTACAAATTACAAACTAAGCCCCCAAACCCCGAAACCCCTTAAACCCTACATCCTATCCCCAAACCCCAAGCCATAACCCCTTCACCCTGAACCCTGAACCTTAAATCCCTAAGCCCGAAACCCTAAATCCGAAATCCCCTAAACCCTATCCCCAAATCCTACACCCTAAACTCTAAATCCCCTAAACCCTAAACCCTAAATCCCCTAGACCCTAAACCCTAAATCCAAAAAAACCCAAAACGCTAAACGTAAACTTAAACCCTGAACCCTCTCGCGCTGTTCAACGACCCAGGGGCTCAACACGATGGCCAGAGCCACTAGCGGCCGCATCTTTGCCATGGCAACAGAAGGCTTCAAAGCGTTCGGGGAGTCCTATGGATGAAGGATCTCGGGTTTAGGGTTTAGGGTTTGGGGCTGCGGGGTTTGGATTCTGGTTGTCGGGATTTTTCGGGCTGGTTGATATGGGTTCGGGGTCGAGTAAAAAGGGTTGGGCTTTCATCAGAATAGTTCTAGGGCCTTCTGGATTTTAGGCGTTTAAGACTCTGCAGGGCCGGGGGGCTTTAGGAAGCAGGGTTTAGGGTTTAGGGTTTAGGGTTAGGGTTTTAGGGTTTCGGGTTTAGGGTTTTGGGGTTTAGGGTTGCAGCGGTTTAGGCTTTTTGGCTTAAAACCCCCTAACTCCCAGGATATGGGTGCCAGGCGCAAGCCCTAAACCCTAAACCCTAAACCCTAAACCCTAAACCCTAAACCCTAAACCCCAAACCCGAACACTAAAGCCAAAGACGAAACCGGAAGATGCTCGAAGCAAAGACGTCCCACATCCCAAAGCCTCAACAAGCCAACAACATGCTACTCTAGGGGTCAGATTTCACTACCCAAGAGCCCTAAGAGTCCTAAGAACCTGAAGAACCCTAAGAACCTAAAGATCTGAAGAACCCTAAGAATTCTCAGAACTCTAAGAACCCTAAGAACCTAAGAACCTAAAGCAGCCTAAGGATCTGAAAGAACCCGAAGAGTTCTCAGAACTCTAAGAACCCTAAGAACCCCTATTCTAATTAAAATTATTTCCTGCAAACCCCCGCCACCCCGAAGCCCAAAAAAAGACGCGTCTACGGCTTCAGGGTTCAGGCTTTCGGGTTTAGGATCTGGGGATTCAGGGGTTTCAGGGTTTAGGGCTTAGGGGCTTTAGGGGCTTTAGGGGCTTGAGGGGCTTCAAGGGCTTTAGGGTTATCGAGATCAAGCCCCAGACCCCCCCAGCCTCCCATAAAGCTCAAACCTCGGACCCTACACCTCCAGCTCTGAACCCTAAGCACCCTAACAACTAAGAACCCTAAGAACCCTAAGCACCCCAAGAACCCTAAGAACCCTAAGAACCCTAAGAACCCTAAGCACCCCAAGAACCCTAAGAACCCTAAGAACCCTAAGAACCCTAAGAACCCTAAGAACCCTAAGAACCCTGAGACCCTAAGAACCCTAAGAACCCTAAGAACCCTAAGAACCCTGAGACCCTAAGAACCCTAAGAACCCTAAGAACCCTAAGAACCCTAAGAACCCTAAGAACCCAAAAACCCTGAGAACCTTAAGAACCGGAAGAACCCGAAGAACCCTACGAATCTGAAGAACTTCAAGAACCCTACGAATCTGAAGAACCCCAAGAGCCCGCAGAGCCCTAAGAACTCTCTAAGCCAACACTGTCAGAACTCCAAGCATCGAAACCCAAAAACCATAAACACCTAAGAGCCCTAAAAACAAAGCGTTGGGGTTTAGGGTTTAGGGTTTAGGGTTAAGGGTTTAGGGTTTAGGGTGTAGGGTTTAGGGTTTAGGGTTTCGGGTTTAGGAGGCCCATCGTCCTTGGGCGTGGGGCCTTTGTGCTTGGAGTCCCTCGAAAAAGAAAACCAAGCTCCAAACTCCACATCCGACACCCTGCACTCTGAACAGATCTAAACCCTACACTTGGTTTTTGTTGTTCCAGACATGCGCTTTCTTTGGGGTCCTACACTCCTCAACCATCCTACCACTTAAAGTTCCGGCAAGTTGTAGAGGCCAAGCCTAAGGCACTCTTAACCCTACTTCAAACCCACTAAAACAAGCTCCCCCTCCACACTCAACCCTAAACCCCCTTTACCCCTAAGCCCCTAAACCCGAAACCCTGAACCCTGAATCCTGAACCCTGAACCCTAAACCCTAGACCCTAAACCCCAAACCCTAAACCCTAAACCCTAAACCCTGCGGCCCGGACCATGGCCGGGAAGGCGCGTCTTCGGCAGCTTCGTGGCCAAAGGGTGCAAGGAGGCTTTGGGAGATTTAGGGGCTTTGGGGGGGTCCAGAGGCTTATAGGGTTGAGGGTTTAGGGTTTAGGGTTTAGGGTCTAGGGCTCAGGGCTCAGGGCTTAGGGCTCAGGGCTTAGGGGTTGGGTGGGCGTGTAGTGGACTGAAAGATCTCAAGGCGTTCATGGTTGCTTGCGCACATTGACGGGCGTTTTTGGAATGAGGTTCTACGGTTAGGGGTAAGTTTGGCTTACTTACTATGAAGGGTTTAGGGTTTAGGGTTTAGGGTTTAGGGTTTAGGGTTTAGGGTTTAGGGTTTAGGGTTTAGGGTTTAGGGTTCAGGGTTTCGGGTTTAGGGTTTAGCTATGAAGGGTTATGGTGGAGGGTTTGGGGCTGAGGGCTTGGGGGGGTTGTAGGGCCTGGGCACTAACAGGCTGGCAGACCGGCAGTCGCAGAACTCCAGCATAAACTTACGCGCTAAACCCTAAACCCTAAACCCTAAACCCTAAGCCCTAAACCCTAAACCCTAAACCCTAAACCCCATGCGTCTCCAACGGGGCTCGGTGAGATTGGTGGGTTGGCGCCTTTGGGTCGAGCGTTTGGGATTTAGGGTGTGTAGGGTTTAGGGTTTCGGAATGATGGGTCTCGCGTTTCGGGCTTGGGAGGTGTGTAGGTGATGGGCTCTTGTTGGTAATTCCCGAAGAGGCCACCAGTCAAGCACAAGAACTCTAGCAGCAAAAATCTAAATCCAAAACCCAAAAACCAGCTTGGGGTTTAGAATTTAGGGTTCAGGGTCTCGGACTCAGGGTTTAGGGTTTCAACTCCCGAAAAGCCCTACCCCGAACCCTAAACCCTAAACCCCAAAAACCACCCAAAGAAACTCTCGGGCTTCTCTCTTCAGGCTGGTTCGCGGCTTCAGGTTTACAGTAGAGTCTAGAGGAGGCTTGCTTCAAGAAGGCCTGGAGATGTTCAATTCAGGGTTCAGGGTTTTTGTGTGCTGGGAGCTCAAGAGGCTTGGGACAGAAGACGTGCAGTCTTCGGGGAACTCAAGATCTGTTGGGGTTTTTTGGGGTTCTGGGGTTCAGGGCTCCTTCTTTGGAGACATCTGCGACCAAACTCTTACCCTACATCTGAAGCTCAGGGAAGCGTGATGCCAGGACTTTTTGTGTGGCTCGCTGCGCGCGGGTCGCCAGGGAAAACTGCGCGCGACGCGGCCTGGCTGAGAAATTCACCCAGAGTTGGCGGTGTTGGGAGGTCGCGACGATTGGAGCGGGCTTATGGGGCTTGGGGTGTGAGGTCTGGGGTTGAGGCTTTACAAGAGTTTTGGGGGGGGTCAGCGTTCGGGCGGTCTCTGGCGTTTGGGTTTTGAGCTTCGGGGGCTTTAGGGTTTAGGGTTTAGGGTTTAGGGTTTTCGGGTTTAGGGCTTAGGGCTTAGGGCTTCGGGCTTTGGGGGCTTGGGGGCTTGTGGTGTGCGTTTGGGTGTACTCTTTTGAGGGCCCTTCGGCTTGATTCAATGCCTTTAGGGGCTTGGGGAATAAAACTCCGTTCGACGCCTCTAAGAGCCCTGAAGCCATAAACCCCAAACCCCAAACCCTAAACCCTAAAACCTAAACCCCAAACCCCAAACCCTAAACCCGTTACAACACCTTTAAGCGTTTAGGGCTCCTGAGGCCCTCGGGGCCCTGAGAACCCGACCCTCATGAGGCTTTACTTAAATCCCTTTAAGCCCCTTAGAGCCCTTCATTACACCCTAAACCCTAAACCCTAAACCCCTAGACCCTAAACCACCAGACCCTAAACCCTAAACCCTAACCCTAAACGCTTGGGGCCCTTAGAAGCAGAAGAACCCTCAAGAGACAGTGAGGGCGCTCACCTGCCCTCACCAGGCGAAGCAGGGGACGGCGGACTGCGGAAGGGGCACCTGGCGCGGAAAATTTGGGGGTGGCGGGGTGTCAGGGTTTAGGGTTTAGGTTAGGGCTTAGGGTTTAGGGCTTAGGGTTTAGGGTTTAAGGCTTAGAGTTAGGGTTTAGGGTGTAGGGTTTAGGGCCTAGAGTTTAGGGTTGAGGGTTCATTCAGGGTTTACGGTGTAGAATAGCCTAAACCCCCAGAAACTGAAAGCCCTAAACTCTGAACTGCAAGACTACTAAACCTCTAACCTTTAAACCGAAGATCTAAGCCTCCAAACTCTAAACCTCTAAACCACTAGTCCAAGACCCCCCCCCCCCTCAGAAAGAAGCCCGAAGCCGCTAAGATACACTCGCACCTCTACACAAACATTTAAACCCATGGGAAGCCTGCACCTCTACACCCCTCGAAACCAATTTTACTCCCAACCCCCTAACCCTGAATGAACCCTCAACCCTCAACCCTCAACCCTCAACCCTCAACCCTCAGCCCTAAACCCTAAACCCTAAACCCTAAACCCTAAACTCCAGCACGAAGCCTCCTCTTCCTCGCAGAGGTCTCGGATGCCGACCTGCCGGAAAAATGAATCAACCCCAGAGCTCTTGTAGCTTTCTGGAGTCTGGGCAGTGGGTGCAGGGCTTATACGGTTTGCGGTTTGGGGTTTAGGGTTAAACCCTAAACCCTAAACCCTAAACCCTTGACCCTAAACCCGGGTCTGAAAGCCTGCAACAGAATCGACGATCAACTCCAACAGAACTCTGCCAAGGGATGTGGAGGAGACTCCACATCCTAAACCCTAAACCCTCAACCCTAAACCGTGGTCCCACAAAAGACAGCTGCGCGTCCGCCCAGCTGCAGCCACGGGAGCAGCAAACCCGGATGAAGGCTGAGGTTCGAACCCTACTTGCAGCAAAACTGAACAGCCTAAACCCTAAACCCTAAACCCTAAACCCTAAACCCTAAACCTCCACTCTAACCCTAAACCCTAAACCAAGGAAAACCCAAAAAAAGAAGCTCCTGGAAACTTTCCTCGAAACTTTCCCAGACTTGAACCCTTCACAATTTCAATAGACCCTAAACCCTCAACCCTCAACCCTCAACCCTAAACCCTAAACCCTAAACCCTAAACCCTAAACTCTTACCTGACTAGTTGCCCCTAAAGTACCCCTGAATAACCCCTAAGGTCCCTTGTGAGGGTCCCTCCTTTAGTCCCTTGAGATCCCTCAACCCTCAACCCTCAACCCTCAACCGTCAACCCTAAACCCTAAACCCTAAACCCTAAACCCTAAACCCTAAACCCTAAACCCCAACCTCTGATCATGTGGCCGGCCTGGGTGAGCTCGGAGTCTTGGCCCCCCATGTCTTCGGCATGGATGCCTGTGGTGCTGAGGGCTTGGGCTTCTTATCGGGTTTCGAGTTTCGGGTTTAGGGCTAGGGTTTAGGGTTTAGAGTTTAGGGTTTAGGGTCTAGGGTTTAGGATTGAGGGTTTTGGGTTTAGGGTTTAGGGTTTATAACAGAGCTTGAGATGATCGGGCTTGGGGTGATTCTAAGCGTTCGGGCTTTAAGGGGTTTCAGGCTTCAGAGTGCGAAGCAACCCTCAAAAAGCCGACCTCCAAAACCTTAAACCCTTGAACCCTAAACCCCCAAAACCTTCATCCCTGAAACCCTGGAAGCCTTTAACCCCTGAACCCTAAACCCTAAACCCTAAACCCTAAACCCTAAACCCTAAACCCTAAACCCTAAACCCAAGGCCGCGGCCTGTCTTCGCGACAAAGGCCGCGTCGAAGCCCACCTCCGTCTTAAGGGCGCACAACTCTGGGGGGCTTTTGGCAGCTTTGGGATAGAAAGAGCAGGGTGCCTTCGGGTTCATAGGGCCTGTAGGGTTTACAGTGCTTATGGGGCCTGTATACAGAGCTTTTAGGGCCTGGTTTATAGAGTTGAAATTGGGATGCTAGAGTTGATAGGGTTTATAGGACTTGCAGGGTACCGACAGGATGTGGCATTCTTCAATTGAGGTTCAGAGTTTAGGGTTTAGGCTGGAGGCTGCCATTGGGGGAGGATTTGGGGTTTGGGTATCTCAAAACCTCCTAAAACCCTGCCAAAGGCCTACGAAAACCCTACGAAGACCCCTACTGGAACCCCAGCCCCTAAACCCTAAACCCCAAATCCCAAATCTCAAACCCTAAACCCTAAACCCCAAATCCCAAACCCTAAACCCTAAACCCCAAACCCTAAACCCTACGTCCCTGAAGCTGGGGCATCCACCGAGATGGCGCCCTTCACGTCGTGGTGCAGGGAGTCGCCAATGTGACAGATCCGGAAGTCCTGTAAGCTTCTCTTTTGGGCGTTTTAGGGTTTAGGGTTTAGGGTTTAGGGTTTAGGGTTTAGGGTTTAGGGTTTAGGGTTTAGGGCTTAAGGTTTAGGGTTTAGGGTTTAGGGTTTAGGGTGTAGGGTTTGGGGTGTAGGGTGTAGGGTTTAGGGTCTAGGGTTTAGGGTTTAGGGTTTCGGGTTTCGGGTTTAGGGTTTAGGGTTTAGGGTTTAGGGTTTCGGGTTTAGGGTTTAGGGTTTAGGGTTTAGGGTTTAGGGTTTAGGGTTTAGGGTTTAGGGTTTAGGGTTTAGGGTTTAGGGTTTATGGTTTATGGTTTAGGGTTTAGGGTTTAGGGTTTAGGGTTTAGGGTTTAGGGTTTAGGGTTTAGGGTTTAGGGTTTAGGGTTTAGGGTTTAGGGTTTAGGGTTTAGGGTTTAGGGTTTAGGGTTTAGGGTTTAGGAGGGTTTAGGAGGGTTTAGGAGGGTTTAGGAGGGTTTAGGAGGGTTTAGGAGGGTTTAGGAGGGTTTAGGAGGGTTTAGGGTTTAGGGTTTAGGAGGGTTTAGGGTTTAGGGTTTAGGGTTTAGGGTTTAGGGTTTAGGGTCTAGGGTTTAGGGTTTAGGGTTTAGGGTTGAGGAGAGGAAGAGGAGAGGAAGAGGAGAGGAAGAGGAGAGGAAGAGGAGTGGAAGAGGAGAGGAAGAGGGTTTAGGGTTTAGGAGGGTTTAGGAGGGTTTAGGAGGGTTTAGGGTTTAGGGTTTAGGAGGGTTTAGGGTTTAGGGTTTAGGGTTTAGGGTTTAGGGTTTAGGGTTTAGGGTTTAGGGTTTAGGGTTTAGGGTTGAGGAGAGGAAGAGGAGAGGAAGAGGAGAGGAAGAGGAGAGGAAGAGGAGTGGAAGAGGAGAGGAAGAGGAGAGGAAGAGGAGAGGAAGAGGAGAGGAAGAGGAGATGAAGAGGAGAGGAAAAGGAGAGGAAGAGGTCTAAGGATTTGGGTTGAGGGTTTAGGGCTTAAGGTTTAAGGTTGTTCTGTGTTGTTCGAAGAAACCAAGGCCAACCAACCAGCAGATTGCAGGGTCTAGGCCAAAAGGGGCGGGAGGGCTTAGGGCTTAGGATTTGGGGTTGAGGGCTTAGGGTTAGGTTTGGATTATGAGGTAAAGGTCTATTCCATACCTCATATTTGTGTGGCTTAAGTAGTTCCGCCTCGCCTTGTCAAATGTCAAAGCTCAGGCCTCTTCCTCATTGCCAGTTGTTCCCGCAGGCCCTGTGTACTCGATCACCCTGCTGCCACCGAGCTCGCTCTGGATGCTTGTGCGCTGGCGCTTCAACTTGTTGAGCTCGCCTTAGCGAAAACTGATCAAATCTGAAAGGGTTGGCACTCAAAAAACAAACCGGGCCCTAAACCCTAAACTCCAAACCCATAAACCTCGAAGACCAAGAGAGGCTCGGAACAGCTTGATGGTCTATCTAGGGTTTGGGTTTAGGGATAAGGAAGGGCATTACCTGCTTTATCGTACGTCTGCTGCCCTGGTGATACCAAGACAAAAGAGCAAGGACAAACCTCAAACCTTAAACGTGAAACCCTAGACCCTTGAACCTTGAACCCGCAAGGGATCTAAGTTTAGGGGAATAACCCTAAACCCTAAACCCTGAACCCTGAACCCTAAACCCTTGTTGGGTCTTATGGGGCCTCTGAGCAAACCCTAAGTGCTCCTCCACGTTGTCGCTCCAAAATGCCCAATACACCCCCAAGATACCGCAACCCCTATTGAAGGGTTTAGGGTTTAGGGTTTAGGGTGTAGGGTTTAGGGTTTAGGTTTTAGGGTTTAGGGTTTAGGGTTTAGGGTTTAGGGTAAGGTACTGAAACCCCTATTGAAGGAACCCCCGCTTGAACGAACCCCCGCCTCAAAGGGCAACCCTAAACCCTAAACCCTAAAGCCTAGAAACCCTAAACCCCAAACCCCGGAAACCCTAAACCCTGAAGCCTAGAAACCCTAGAAACCCGAAAGCCTAGAAAGAGAAAAATATATAGAAACCCTAGAAACCCCAGAAACCCTAAAAACCCTAAACCCCAAACCCCAAACCTTAAACCCTAAACCCTAAACACTAAAAACCCAAAAAACCCTCAACCCCAAACCCTAAACCCTAAAAACCCTAAAAACCCTAAAAAAACCCTAGAAAACCTAAAAACCCTAAACCCTAAAAACCTTAAAAACCCTAAATCCCTAAAAACCCTAAAAACCCTAAACCCTGAAAACCCTAAACCCGACGAGCCTCGTCGAGCTCCAGCTCCAGCGCCCTGTCGGCATCGCCACCGGCCACCGCGTGACAAAGCTGGTGCCGGGCCTAGGGAATCGGGTTTAGGGTTTAGGGTTTAGGGTTTAGGGTTTAGGGTTTAGGGTTTAGGGTTTAGGGTTTCTAGGTAGGGCATCCTGAGATGGGGCTGGGGCGCTTTGGAGTGTTGGGGTTTAGGGTGCAGGGTGCAGGGTTTAGAGGTTTGGGAGTCAGGGGAGGGGTTTAGGGTTTAGGGTTCAAGGCTCTGGGGTTTCGGGTTTAGGGTTTAGGGGTTGCGTAGGACTTGGGGTTTAAGCTTTAAGGCTTCGGGCTTCGGGCTACCAACCCGGCTACGTCCTCTGAGCATGAGGCTGAGGATTTCCAACCTACTTTGCTAAGGTTTAGGCTTTAGGGTCAAGTGTTCTTTTGTTGTGGCTTTGGGCTTCGGGGTGAAAGTTGAGTATTACTGTACCTCCAGGTTTAGGGCCCCGGGGTTTTGGCCGTAAAGGTTTTGGGTTTAGAGCTTTCATGACTTATGAAAGCTTTTTAGGGATAATTAAGCTTAATTAAGGATATTTAAGAGGGGAACCTAGGAAGGGCGAAGTTTCGAGGGGGGTAGTATGGGCGCACCCATGAAGCTTCGGGGTTTGGAGTTTACGGCGCGGGGCCTTTGAGCAAAAGACACTTTCGGACTTGGGGTTGGCTCCTGTGCTTGGCCTTGAGTTTTGGGATCAGGGAACACTAAACCCTAAACTAAAAACCCTAAGGGCTTAACCCTAAATGCTAAATCCTAACCCTAAACCCTAAACCCTAAATCCTAAACCCTAAACCCTAAACCCTAAGCCCCAAACACAAACCCGAGGGACCTCCTCGAAGGCGGAGGTGTAAGGCTTGCCAAAATAAATGACCTTCCGCAGGGCTGCTTGGGGCCTCAACCCTAAAGCCTAAAGCCTACACCAGACTCAAACCCTAAACCCTAAACCCTAAATCCTAAACCTGAGAGCTTGCGGGTTTTCAATGTCGGGGTTGCTGGAGCAAGCTGGGCTAGGTGGAGGCGCTTGCTTTCCTTGGCTTTTGTTGGCTTGGCTTGGCTAGAGTTTAGGGTTTAGGGTTGAGGGTTGAGGTTTTAGGGCTTGGGGCTTAGTGGGTGGATTGAATCTGGCAGGCCGAGCCAAAGGCCAAGCCGCAACTACGGAAACGACATAAGGACGTCCCTAGCCCTAAGCCCTCAATCCTAGACCCCTAAACCCTAAACCCTAAGCCCTGAACCCCCGAAGGACCCCTTGAAAGCCCTAAACCCCCAACCTCCTTTCGGCCTGAATGCTTCAACTCCAAACCTTAGTTTGGAGTTTGAGGTTTAGGGTTTAGGGTTTAGGGTTTAGGGTTTAGGGTTTAGGGTTTAGGGTTTAGGGTTTAGGGTTTAGGGTTTAGGGTTTAGGGTTTAGGATTTGGGGTTAGAGTTCAGGGTTTAGGGCTTAGGGGCAAGAAACAGACCTAGTAAATGAAGTTTCGGGCAAGCTGGATGTACAGGAAATCATCGGGTTTCCATACTTGTGCAACGTTCGTTTAAAGTTTAGAGTTCCACCCTGAGTCCTACACCCTGAGCCCTACACAAGCCCCCCCAAGCCCTAAACCCGAGGCCCCAAACCCTGTATGCTACAACCCCTATGCGCGATGTGCAAGGCCTGGCCCCCCAGGCGTTCGTAGTACCTCAGCTTCTGGCGATACAGGGTCTAACGTCTAGGGCTTAAGGAGGAGCCCGGAAGATGTTTAAACAAGCCCCAACAACCCCCAAAAACCCTTGGACCCTAACAGCTACTGCCCTAGACCCCAAACCCTAAACCCTAAACCCTGGATCCTAAACCCTAAACCCCCCAAACCCAAACAGGAATAGTCCCTCCTCCTCCCCAAAACCCCTGAACCCCTAAACCCCTAAACCCCTAAGCCCTTAGCCCCAAAACATAAACGAGCACAACTTACACCCCAAAACCCCAAAACCCTGAAACCCTAAACCCAAAAAGCCCTAACGACCTAAACACTACAACCCCAAACCCCGAAAACCCTGAAACCCTAAAGAAACCCGAAGCCTGCTTTGGACCCCAAAAACCCTTAAACCCTAAACCCCTAAACCACTAAACCACTGAACCCTAAACAAAAAACCTTCAGCCCTAAACCCCTAAACCCTAAACCCTGAGCCCCTAAACCCTAAACCCCTAAACCCCTAAACCCTCCACCCTGAACCCCTTAACCCGAAACCCTGAACCTTAATCCCCAAACCCTGAACCCTAAACCCTCAACCCTAAACCCTAAACCCTAAACCTGTTTTTGGGGGCCCCGGCGCTGCAAGAGACCCGCCCAGGTACGCCTTCCAACCACCTGGGCGCATGACCTGGAAGAGGGTTTAGGGTTTAGGGTTTAGGGTTTAGGGTTTAGGGATTAGGGGGTTTAGGGGGTTCAGGGGGTTTAGGGGGTTTAGGGGGTTTTGGGGGTTTTGGGGGGTTTGGGGGTTTAGGGGGTTTAGGGTTCAGGGTCAGGGTTTAGTTAAGGGTTTAGGCTGTAGGGTCTCAGAGTGTTGGGTGTATGCCCAAGTAATAAGTCGCATGTGCGTGACAAACATCTCATTGGTACCTTCTCAAAGAAGACCATGTCAAAGGTATGACACTTGGCATAGGTCCAATGAACCCAGTCTAAACAAACCACACTTAACAGTAGCAGCCAGCATCCACCGAACATGGCAACCCACACTGGCTGCAACGAGCAGCTCACAAGCACAGCTTTTTGACCACGCTTGTGGTGGCAGGTCACTGTACAGGCCTTCTCACCCTGCAACATTCGAGCATGACCTCCAAGTTCTTAACCCGAGGACTTCACATCAAGTGACAGGAGCAACGCTTTCTATCTGCATCCGCCCGGCCAAGGGGTGTTTCTTTCTCCGGCCAGTCGGGGAAGCCATAGAGCTCCAAATATCGACTTAAGCAGCTGGAAAACACCTCATCAATAGCAGTCGGTGTCCTGCATGACAGCAAGTGGTACGTGCATGTCAGCTCATCTGCCAGTGTTGCAACCTCGTCTTCTGTCACCTGACATCCACCGTATGTCATAAGCACAGTCACAGTACAAGTTCCCTACCTAATATCCAGCTTCCACCTCCTTCCATCTACTTCAACCAGGAAAAAGCTCAAAAGGAAAATGTGTTTGGTCCACTTGACTTCGATAAGGAAGAGCAAATTAGATAGGATAGTGAGCACTCTACATAATACATATAGATAGATACATATATCTATTTTTAATTTATATTTATATTCATATTTATATTTAAAACTATATTTACATGTATGTTTATTTGTATATACATATATATATGTATTTATTTATTGATTTATTTATATCTCTATTTCTATTATATTTTTTATATTCATATCGACATTTATATTCATATTCATACTCATATTTATATTTATATAATGTTTGTATTTATATTGCTATTCCTATCTCTATTTCTATTTCTATTTTTATTTGTATTTGTATTTATGTATGTTTGTTTATGTCGTTTCAGGCTACAGGCACCTCCAGATCATCCAAATCTCCGTGTGTGCCCACCAAGCATCGCACCACACTTGCGTCGCACTTTCCTTCAGCCATTCGCATCAATTGCTGGGCCTCACGTAGGCTTTGTCGCCTTCGTTGACTGAAGACAAACATCAGGATGTGGGCACCTCTGGGTGAAGAGTTGAGACTTTGAGTCTGCAATGGTTTCCTGTAAATTCTGGTCCTTTCTTGGGTACCCTAAATGAGAGGGGCCGCCTTATAGTAAGGACCTCAAAAGGGACCAAAGTTTAGAGAAATCACCATGTATAGTTCATGCAAGGACTTCTTGCACCCCCTTGCTCTTTCACCCAAACATGACTGTCTTCCAATGAGGTGGCCCTGCCTCGCAAATAACCGGTCATCAAGGGTGCATAAGCCCGCTCGTTCCCTTGGGTATCCCAGACGTGAACCTTCGCCCGATGGAAGCCGGCCGCCGAAAAACTCCTTTCTTGGAAGTCGACACCAATGGTAGCATCGTAGTTGCCCACGAACTCTCCAGAGGAAAACGTCGAACAAAGAGCCGTTTTGCCGGCCATCACTCCTCCTAGGAGGACCACTTTGACCTCAGGCTCAGGTGGCTGCTGGATCAAGTAGAAGACATCCTGAGCATTGAGCTTCAGTGATTCCAATGTGGTCGCTGAAGATAGCCGCTGGCTCCCAAAGACTAAGGAGAGACGAGACAAGTCGAAGTCCCCGGCTTGGCATATCTTCAGAAGAAGCTCTTCCACGCTGGTGCTGGGCAGTAGCGAAGCTTCATAGGCCACTTTGGCCGACGGCAGCAGGACGCGCACGGGCACGGCTCTGTCCATGATGGATGTGGCCCAGCACAAGCAGATGTCTGTAGGTTTAGTCCATACGCATTTGGATGGTCCGCCCCCTACCTTTTAAACCATAGCTACATAATCATATGTTAAGCTTTCTAACATCATTGAAGCGTCTTTCAGTCAGTGCTTCAGCAGCTCACGAGCCAAATTGCAGCATCAACCTGATATTGGCTTTGGCCAAGTACAAACGTTGCTTAACTAACATGTTTAGCAACCCACTTGTTGCTCTTCTTGTCTCGTTGGCGATAGTTGTTTTAGCACCGTGTTAACCCTAAACCCTACACCCTACACCCTAAACCCTAAACTCTAAACCCTAAACCCTTTTCTATTGTAGGCTTACACACCAGATGACAGGTTCCATGTTGAAGGAGTGAACCTCCGCTGTTGAGAAGATTCCCTCGGGTTACTTTTGGGTCGAGGGTTTAAGGGTTTGAAAGCTTAGGCGCAGTATGCTTAGGGGTTAGGGTTTAGGGTTTAGGGTTTAGGGTTTAGGGTTTAGGGTTTAGGGTTTAGGGTTTAGGGTTTAAGGTTCAGGGGTTCAGGCTTTAGGGTACACCGCAGCCTCGAAACCCACTCTTGGCGCGATGCTCGCAGATCTGGATTGGCGCAGATCATTGGCCTCCGGGGTCGCATGAAGTAGGGGCTGCGTATTACTGGCATCCCCAAAGAGGAGGGTTTAGGGTTTAGGGTTTAGGGCTTAGGGTTTAGGGCTTAGGGTTTAGGGTCTAGGGTTTAGGGTCTAGGGCTTAGGGTTTAGGGTCAGCCACCAAAGTTTTGATCAAGAAGCCGATATACACACACTCCAATAACAGAGATACAAACCCTACCCTCTAAGGGTTGGTACATGGTCATTTACTATAGGGCCCTTCATTGGGGAACCCTTCTATACACGTTGTGTACCCTATCTCAAATACCTGACATCGGACTGATGTTAGTGTCCTGGAATGGGAGGGGCTTGGGGTCTTGGACTTGAAGCCCAGGCCTTCTTTGATTTGTTTTGGGTTTGAGGACTCTCCCGGCTGTGCCAAAAGCTTCCAAGGGATGACCGGTTTAGGGTTCAGGGTCTAGGGTTTAGGTGTTTCGGGTCTAGGGTGGTTGGTCACCCCGCGAGGTGTCCAGAAGACCTGAGCTTTGAGAGCTTGTGACGAGGCTGTGGGCACCCAGCACCATCACTCAATTTCGTACCCTAAACCCCAAACCCTAAACCCTAAACCCTAAAACCCTAAACCCTAAACCCTAAACCCTAAAACCCTAAACCCTAAACCCTAAACCCTAAACCCCAAAACCCCTAAACTGACAGACAGCCCGGCCATGTGCGCACCATCTGCGTCTTTGGGGCCAAGGCAACTGCCGCTGGATGGCCGCACGGAAGATGGGCCTGGCCAAGTGCGAGAGGTTGCACTCCCTGTTATATAGGGTTTAGGGTTTAGGGTTTAGAGTTTAGGGTTTAGGGTTTAGGGTTTAGGCCTTAGGGTTTAGGGTTTAGGGTTTGGGGCTTCGCAGGGTTGCACTCCTTGTTATATAGGGTTTAGGGTTTAGGGTCTTCGGGTTTGGGGTTTAGGGTTTAGGGTTGAAGGTTCAGGGTTTAAGTTACACTCCGTGCTTTTTTCTTCATGGGTTCCCCTTATACTACACCCCCCCCCCCCTCCCCTCAAATACTACCCCCCCCCCCCCCAGGTTCGCCCCATGATTAAGGCTATCTAGGGATAGTTAAATAGAGGTTATAATCGGGTTTCCGAAATTAGGGGTACCTTCTTGGGGGTCCGTATTCTAAGGGGATCCTGCTATCCGGAGGCCTATTTTAGGGTCTGCTATTTTCGTCAAGCCCCGGCCCTAAGCCCTAAACCCCAAACACATTCCGTTTCGTCCGAGGGTGGAGGAGCAGTCTTAGTGATGCTTAGGGCTGAGGCTACACCCACGATAAGGCTTCCCTCTTACATCTGGGATGCAAGGACAGATTTGAACCCTAAACCCTAAACCCTGAGAAACCCTAAACCCTAAACCCTCAACCTTAAACCCTAGACCCTAAACCCTAAACCCTGAGAAACCCTAAAACCCCGAGACCGCCCTAACCCGCAGAACGCCCTGAACCCCAGCATCTTCAACCACGAAACACGACCTAAACTTCAAAAAACCGACCTACCAGCCCTAGCGCTTTGGCCCAAAAAAAACATGTAAGCCCAAACCCTAAACCTCAAACCCTAAACCCTCCATATAGACAGCAAAGCAACAACCCCGTAAGCCCTAAACCCTGAACCCTATACCCCAAACCCTAAACCCTAAACCCTAAACCCTAAATCCTAAACCCTAAACTGCAGCAAAAGCGACCGGTAGAGGCGGTGGTTGCCCGTCTCCTCATAGTCGCAGGCGTCCTCAACCTGCGCCCCACACCTACACCCCGGAAGGAGTCCATGTACCTACGTTTAGGGTTTAGGGTTTAGGGTTTAGGGTTTAGGGCTTAGGGCTTAGGGTTTAGGTTTAGGGTTTAGGGTTTAGGATTTAGGGCTTAGGGTTTGGCGCTTAGGGTTTGCCCACCCTACACTTCCGGGGGCTTGGTCGGTAAATCGGGTTTTGGGGCTTAGACTTTTTAGGGTTTGGGGTTTTGGGTGAGGGGTTAGGGCTTGATTTTGGGAATCAAGGACTTGGGTCCCGAAGCCACCTAAGGAGATCCCGAATAGGGACTTCCCGAACTCCGAAGGCTGTTGGGGGGCTCCCCCCGCACTGGACTTGGAGGTCGTGCTGCAACTCATAATCCTAGTGTCTGCAGGCTCTGGAGCCCTTTGAAACCCGCGAGTTTAGGCTTTAGGCTTCCGGGTTTGGGCTTCAGGGTTAGGGTTTAGGGCTGAGGGCTCTATACGGCTGAGGGTTTTGGAGCATTTTGGAAGCCCAAGCATCCACCTTACCCCGTAAGCCTTCCCCCCCCCACCCCCCCCCCGCCGCTCCCTCCCCGGTAGACTTAAACTCCGAAGCCCTGAACCCTGGAGAGCTGGGGGCCCCAGCGGCTGTCCCGGCGAAACGGCTCTGGACGCCCGATACGAGGATCTGGGCGCTTGCCAGGGATGGCGCGCGGCTCTAGGGTTTTGGGTTTAGGGTGTTTGGGCTTGGGGCTGTGGATGGTTTATTGTAGTCTATTGTATTGTATTTCCCATATACTCCCTAGAGTTGACTGGACCACTGAAGGCTGTAGGATTGCGATCAAACACCACCTGGCCAAGTCCCAAACCCCCCCTCCCGCTCCTAGCTCAACCCTCCAACCCAAAACCCTAAACCCTATATAAACCCTAAACCCTAAACCCTAAACCCACCTCTGAGGCGGAAGCAAAATCTGCCTCCCCGACGCTCTCTGCAAGCGTGTAGCCTGCGGGTTGAAACACTTTGAAGCATATGTTTAGGGTTTAGGGTTTAGGGTTTAGGGTTTAGGGTTTAGGGTTTAGGGTTTAGGGTTTAGGGTTTAAGGTTTAGGGATATACCAAAAGTTGCCATAACCCCCTGTACAGTACAGGAACCCCAACAAAGGGGATCACTATTTTCGGAAACCCCCATATTCAACCCCACTCACGCCGAAAGTCCACAAAGTTTAGGGATTTTGGGTTTAGGGTTTAGGGTTTAGGGTTTAGGGTTTAGAGGGTTCAGGGTGCAAGGGGGGCTCAGGGTTTACGAGCTTCAGGGGCTGAAGGCATTTGGGCTGCCATGCACTACCCTAAACCCTAAACCTGCACTACCCTAAACCCTAAACCCTCGGCATGTTTCGATTTGGAAGTGAAGAGTTTGCGACGGAAGTCTCGACACCCTCTCCTTTGCAGTGCAGGAGTTCTACCCGAAAAACCCCTCAACCCTAAACCTAACCCTAAACAGCTGAGCCCCTAAAGCCTAAAACCTCTAACCCTAAACCCTAAACCCCAAACCCCAAACCCTAAACCCTAAACCCTAAACCCTTTGCCTATGCCTTAAACCTTGGGGCCTTCGAGGCCCTCGAAGAAGTCGCCCAGCCCGCGAGCCTCGAGCCTCAAGTCTCCGTGCTGGGGGTTTGAGGTTTGTGGGTTTAGGGTTTAGGGTTTAGGGGTTTAGGGGTTTAGGGGTTTAGGGGTTTAGGGGTTTGGGGGTTTAGGGGTTTAGGGGGTTTCCGGTGTTGAGGGTTCGGGGTTGTGGGAGTTTGGGGCTTGGGGGTGTAGGATTTTGGTGTTTTGGAGCTTTGGGGTTTAGAGGTTATGGGGTTCAGCGGTTCAGGGGGGTTTATGGTTTAGGGGTTGTGGGGCATGGGGTTCTGGGGTTTGGGCCTGAAGGTTTAGGGTGAAACCCGAACACAGCACCTCTAAACCGTTTAGGGCTTAGACTACCCTAACCCAAAAACCCTCCGTCCTAAACTGTGCAGCTTGGAGGGCTCTTGGCTGCACTCAGGAGGGTAGCTATAAATGAAACCTTTAGCTGCCTTATTAAGAAACCCAATAAACCCAAAAAAGGGTAAGGATCTAAAGTTACAGCAAGACACCACAAAGCCTGGTTGGATGAAGCCTTCGCGAAGCCTTCATCAGATCCCTAAGCACCACAAAGGGCTTAGGGTTTAGGGTTTAGGGTTTAGGGTTTAGGGTTTAGGGTTTAGGGTTTAGGGTTTCCGGTTTTGAGGGTTCTTGGGCTTTTTGGGGGGGGGCTCCGCTTGCTCGCCGTGCGGCATCCCTGAACTCCAGGAGCGACTCACGGAACTCGCGCAAAAATCCATCCACCACAAAAAGGGTTTAGGGTTTGGGGTTTAGGGTTTAGGGTTTAGGGTGTAGGGTTTAGGGTTTAGGGTTTAGGGTTTAGGGTTTAGGGTTTAGGGTTTAGGGTTTAGGGTTTAGGGTTTAGGGTTTAGGGTTTAGGGTTTAGGGTTTAGGGTTTAGGGTTTAGGGTTTAGGTCTATGGGCAAAGAAACGAACCCAAAACCGAATGAAACCTGAACCTCAAAAACCCCGATGTCCTCCACAACTCCTTGCCCACAAAGGGTTAAGAATCCAAGCCCTTAGCCCCAAATTCCACGCCTACCTTAGCTTGCAGCCCTACGCCTCAGACTTCCACGCTTAGCTTAACCCTAAACCCCAAACCCCAGACCCCAAACCTCAAGCCCTAAACCTAAGTCCCTAAACCCTAAACCCAAACCCCAAACCCTGAACCTAAAACCCTAAACCCTAAACCTGTGAACCCCAAACCCTGAACCCACTAGCTGCAATCGGAGGAGCTCCGTCCATGCAATCCAGAGGACCCGCTTCCCAAACTTGCCTCTACGAGTGTTTAGGGTTTAGGGGTTCAGGGTTTCGGGTTTAGGGTTTAGGGTTTAGGGTCTAGGGTTTAGGGTCTCTCGGCGCATTGAAAATTTGGGAGACACCAGACTCTAAGGCGACTGCGGTGTAGGGCTTAGACTCAGACACCAGACACCAACAGGAACTGCAGTTTAGACTTGAGGTGTTGGGGTTCAGGTAGGGTACCTTTTGTTCAGCTTCTCTCAGTGGTAATGTGTTGCTGAGTGCTCCTCGCATCTCTCAGGACACATCTATCTCAACCCTAAACCCTAAACCCTAAACCCTAAACCCTAAACCCTAAACCCTAAACCCTAAACCCTAAACCCTAAACCCTAAACCCTAGACCCTAAACCCTAAACCCTAAACCCTAAACCCTAAACCCTAACGAACCCCGCCTTGCTTCGCTAAGTACCGGAAGGCCATCTCCCCAGAGGTGACCTCGCACGCCGCTTCCGAGACACGGAAGCCGACGGCAAACGATCCAACGTATGGATCCCAACCCTAAACCCTAAACCCT